GTTCGCCGTCGCCGCCCCCGCCCCCGAGCCCCTTTCCACACGCGGCTCCGCGCCGGCGGCTGCCACCGCCGCAGCTCTTGGAGCACTGCAACAGAAATGTTTCAGCATCAGCATTTGTCAACACATGAACACAATGAGCCATGACCTTTGAACCAGCATCGTTACCTCTGACCACTGCGAGTACTCCCATCCTCCGGGGTTGCAGTCTCCATGGCAGCTCTCCTTGTCCTCTGGTCTCTGTTGACCACTGCAGTAACGGTCGTCCACCTTCTGGGTCTTACTGTCTGCATGGCTGATTTTAGCACAGTATATGTCCAGGGTACGATATCCCAGACCACACTGGGCCGTGCATTCACTCTTACGAGCCACGTGCCACCTGTATCAACATTTAAAGGCACAGTCTGGGGTTTCACTTATTGTTAAATTATTGTTATTGTTAGATCTTAGCCATTACATGGCTAACTTTTTTAAATTAGCTGACTAACTATTTTTAACCACATTGTTGACATACTTTTAACAATTCTGTTTTTTTACAGTTAAAATGGTTTGTTTAAGATCAACAGCCGGTGTCTGCTGTGCTGTCAAAATATTAGTACCGTGATTTAAATGGCCGGTTGAAACACACCTAAGTTCACACTCAGTGTTGCAGTGCTCCGTGATGGCAGAAGGTCTGGCCGTACTGTAACACCTCTGGTCTGACACCACCACCCTGTCGGACTCTCTGCTGCACAGAATCTTTCTCTTCCGTTCACCTGTTAGACAAAAAACAACAGCAGATGTTTGAGAGGTCAGTGAAGTGGAGAACTGCCTGTCTTTTTATCCTGGTGAAAAAATTCTAATATTCATGATAAATAAAAGTTTATAAAAATAAGTTTCATTAAAAGTATACGCAACTATAAATATTTTTTGTAAACTCACAAAATCACAAAAAATGTTACCCCTACATTAGCCTGACACACCAATATCCATACTATTTTGCCAGAGCTAATCACAGACTAGCAAATAGCTAGCACACAGCTATGTCACCACTTCTCCTCAATGAGCAAATCAGCCTTTACAGCTAAGTATAGCTGTTTATCATCGAGATCTACTCGAATAGGAATGAGGTTAATATATAGTCTGATAAGTAAGATTTAGTTAGTTACTAAAGTTCATATCACATCTATGGGGCTCTAATCTTTTAATTTTACAGGAGCTAAAATTAGCTTAATGTAAAGGACCAGAAAACATTAGCATGGTTAAAGTCCTCTAGTCTCCTGTCAAATGAGCAGTTACAAGTTTAGCAGGGCAGTGTGATGAGAGTTCAGTGTGTACCAGACTGGCAGAGTTCTGTAAATCAGAGATTCCCAGGTGCTACAGCTGCTCTCTCTCTGCTGTGTGAACCTGCTGGTTTCTCTCTGGAATTTACTCTTGGTTGTTGAAGCAAAGCAGTGTCAAAAACAGACTTTTCAAGTTGACCTGCAACCATCCGCCACACACCCACGCACTGCAACAAATCCACAAACCTACCAAAGAAGGCAATCTGCTGCGGTCCACTGTGAGGTCCAGCTTTAATCACTTGTTCCAAACCTATAGATCTAACAGGGCCGTGTCAGCTTTGGACCAGACAACCTGCTCTCCCATTTAAGGCCTGTGGCTCAGCAGCAGGTTGCAATGTCTCCCCTACGCCACCCCATCAATCACTGAGCACTCCCACAACCCCACCCTGCCGAGTCCTACTGTATGTGCCTCCCCCTCACCTTGGCAAAGGCGGCTGCACTCCTGCCAGGGCCCATAGGCATCCCAGAAGAACTGCTGAGGCTTGTCCTCGATAGGGATGTTGAAGGAGTACCTGACATCTGGGTTGTACAGGTTTCCCACAGACAGAACCTTTGGGATACAAAGTGTTAAAATACATTTTTATACATATAATATTTTTCCAATTTGTTGATTAGACAGACAAGGCTGGTGACAAATAAAAGGTAACGTGATTTTGAATCATGATGTTCCAGGGACTGATTAAAAATGTTAAATATCCCTTTAATTTTTAACACAAAAGAATTTCGGCCCCACGTCTCCATCCTCACCTGGACAACGATCTCCTCCTCGATGCGTTCGGTACAGTTGATTCTTTCTACGACGTTCTCAGAGCCACTGTACTCGATGACAACATTTCCTACTTTGACTTCTTTTTTGAACATGCTGACCACAAACACCCCATTGAGCAGGAACTCTCCACGGCTGTTCGATATGGCTGTGGGGAAACAGCAGGTGACAGTCAACAGTGTACAGAGATCAGAGGAGCACAATCTGCTGCACCGGGTGACAAAAATAAATATAAAATAGATATAAAAAAAACGTACCATTCACCTGAAGGACATGGATTTATTGTGCACAATGCATAGACTTTCTCTTCTATACTTTTATAGAGTCTTAGTCAATAGCTTCATCAACAAAACTGTGCCAAAAGGTATAGGAAAAGGATGAATAAATGAATGAAATATATAAAAAAACAAAACAAAATAAAGCAAAAAAAAATGCTAAAACTTAACTGAAAATAGAATTAAATAGAAGACAAATCTAAAAGTTAGTTCAACTTCAGGGAAATGCTACAATATTAACATTAAAGTTTACTTATAAATAAATCACAATACAAAGAGTAAGTTAGCCTTGACATTTGGATAAATTTACATTTGATTAATAAAATAACATTAATAAGTCAACATGAACCAAAAGACACCTAGTTGGAACTGGAAAGTAGTCCCATACAAAATTGATACAAAAAATGTGATACAAAATTCTACTTAAGCGAATGGCAGGGCAACCAATACAAACTATTTTAAGTGTAGGTAAAATACAAAGAGAGCAGGAGTCTAACTTACATGGGGATAAAATAAAATAATCCTGTTTCTGTAGAACATTCATCCACAAGCATCCTGTCCTGTTCAACAGCCAGTCTGCTGCACTCATTAGATCTAATTGGATTATGGGGCTAATTTCCTGCCCCGACTTTCCTCACCATTTAACACATTACACTAATATGTTGTGGATAGCGGCCCCTCGCCCTCAGTGCAGTAAAATAATCTTCCCCTAGGGCACCTTATTATAACAACCCAAAAAGCCCCAATAGGCAACAATAACAACAAAAACAATCTGATTTTAGAGGTAATGAGACCCTGACCTCACAACTAATGATTATGATTATGAAGAGGCAAACAAACACACACGGACATGTGGACACACACACGTTGACCTTTATGAAATGTCACAAAAGACGCTGATTGTCCAAATATGAACAAGCTCATGGAAAAAAGGACTTGAAAATGAACTGTTGGCAAATAATAATGATAATAATTGGAACTTTATTGATCCCAGACTTGGGAAATTCTTGTGCTAACAGCAGCTCTGCTGCAACAGGCTGCCTCTTGGAGGCACCAAGTATTCCGCTGGGATTCGAACCCAGGACTCTCTGCTTGTGTGCCAGACTGCAGTGTGTTGCAGAGTAGACCTAGTTAGAAAAGTTAGCAATGATATTTCACTGGATAAAGAAAATGAACCTGTCTTTGGACCTCAAACAGATACACTACAAACACCTGAACAACCATACTAAAAAGGTTAGCATGTGAGCCCAGCAGACACAAACACATTTGCACTGCATGTTTTCAAACAGAAACAACCAAGACTATACATTTCCATGGAAGATTTCCTCTTTTTCAAAGAAAAACAAAGCAGAAAGATTTGTCTCACCGAGGTAGTTGTCGTCCGCTGGTTTCCCTGAGTAGCTGTGTTGACGCACATCTATATTTGTAGCACCAACGGGTATCCGCACCACTTCATTATAGCCTGCGAATGTTCAGAGTACTTTGTTTGAGTGATGAACCTGCCGAGCTCAGCACCAACTTACAAGACGGCTCCACCTGATGACTGAGTGTAGTAACAAGAACCGTCACACGAACAGCGGCGCTCACCGTAGCGGACTGTGTTGAAGGTTCCTGCCACAGTTTTACAGGAGGAGTTGTCACCTCCACACACCCCACATTTGTCTCTCCTGGCTTTGGAGTTCAACACGTGGTCACAGCCCGCTTGCTGCCAGACAACGGAAGACAGTGAGAAAAACAGTGAGGACTTACATGATGCAAAATTACTAACATTTATTTTTTTTATCTATTAAACCCAAAGGGAAAATATCTATGAAACACTGCAGTGATTAACACCAAACTGTTGTTGCATCCAAGTAGTGTTTGATATTTGTTCAACAAACCAAACCAGTGCCAGAGATAGGGATGGGATTTGAGCCCACAATCATCTGGATAGCAACAAGGCTAATGAAAGACGATGCTGATTTTCAAATTTGTACCATTTGACTCCAAGTTTTAGAGAAACTTTCTGTTCTTGACCAACTCTTACCTGCACTGCTGACTTTTTCGAATGGTAAAACACTTTAAAAAATAACAATAACTGTCGTATTATAAATGATGCTACAAAAATTTAGCCAAGCATGAAAGTGACACCACATGTTCAACTAAAGCCGAGTTGGACTAGATTTTTGTCATAAATATAATAAAACTAAATTAACATAAAGACAAGTGTAAAAGAAAAGAAAAAAACTAATACAAGTTTCTTTCCTCCAGCAAGGAACGAGTTAAACAGTGAACCATTAACATGTCACATAAATTGTTTTCCACTTGGCCATTAATTTGTTCACGAAGTACTGATTATTCAAGAGAAAAAGTCAAACTCGTTGACCCTTGAAAGCAGTTACGTAAGAACTGATTGTGTTACAACCATCTGAAATAAATTTAACTTTCAACAGAACAGCTGCGAAAGCTGTTCAGGCTTTTAACTGACTGTTGTACGAGACATCTTCTCTGTCCCTGTCAAGGTGGAAGAGCTTAGGTGTTTGGACAATATCGGCCAATCGATATTGCTTCAAACCACGGAGACCGAAAACAAGTGAGAAAGCTCACCCGGCACAGGCCCTGGACGCAGATATCGTTGGTGTCAGGTTCACATGGCGTGCCATCGATAACCCTGTCCCTGAGCTGATAATAGGCCGTGCTGCCCGCCACCCTGCAGAACAGCTTACACCTGTCCTTCATTAAGACTGGCAGAGGAGAGAGAGAATGACAGAAAGAGACATGGACTTGTCATCACCAAAAAAATATAAATTAAAAGTCATCCAGAGCGTTCATGTGTCCATTTCTGTTTACAACACTGTCTGACAAACCACAGACCAAGGTTAAAGGTCACTCACTTCCACTGTACTTAGGCACCCAGCGAACATTAGGAGGTAGACCGTTGATGTTAAAGTGTCTGCCGTCAAAATGAGCGCACTGCTCTTCCCTGAAGTCTCTCTTCTGTTTGAAGCAGGGCTCAGAGTTACAGGATCGAAACTTCATCCGACGTCCAACGCAAAACGTTCCTCCATTCCTGGGCCTGAGAGTGAAATCCAAGGTGTGAGTAAATTCTAGACATTTTTTCCTTTTCTCAGAAAGTAATGCAACTTATTTTTTCATGCCATCCTAGACATTTTTTCCTTTTCTCAGAAAGAGAAAATGCAACTTATTTTTTCATGCCATTGGTCTATTTGGAATTCTGCTTCTTTTATATTCTTTTTATTCTGTTGTTTGGCTCAAATTGTTAAGATAAATCAGAGACACTTATTGAATTTTAAAGGCAGCATCACTAAACTCCTAGCCATAAATACATACTAAAGCATGTGAGGTTCAATCTTAGGGGATGATGATCGGAATGAAAGGGAAAAAAATAAACAAATAGCACAGAAGTGTTATAGTGCCTAAGTCTTTTTTCAA